TGAAAATTCGTCACTTCCCTGAGAGCAAACTGGAAAGGAAAAAAAAAAAAAAAAAAAAAAAAAAAAAAAAAAAAAAAAAAATTGGACCTAGAGTCCAAACTCTTGAAAACATTGACAAGAAAAAATACTCTTGATTCAATCGGATTTTTGCTTGAATCAAAACGAAATCCGCTCAAATTAAGAGGCTTGGTTCTTGATTTAAGCTTAAATCTGATTGAAACAAGAGTATTTTTTTCTTGTCGGTGTTTTTAAGAGTCTGGATTCTAGATCCAATGTGTTTTTTTTTCCCAGTGCAGCGTTTCTCTACATGAGGGCTAATAACGAACAATATACAGTCTCCCTGACAATTTTGCCAAAAATGAGCCAATTTTTCCGTTTGAATTTTCCATGACTATGATCACGTGGTGGAACAAAAAATGAATTCCAAATCGCAACTAGTATTTCTTCTGCAAGTTTATAAAAGCATGAGGCACATCGCCGATGGTGCATTTACATCATGTTAACGGTAAAGAACAACGTAATTCACCCATTATGAACACTGGGAAAGAAAGGAGGGGAAAAACCGTGCTGGTCGTAGAAAAAGTCCAGCAATTATGAAGAACAGGGACCTCGGCGTCGGCGACGCTCCTTGAAAACCGTGGCGTGGCGTGTTTTGCGATATATCGACTGATCGGCGATTTAAACCTATAGAAAAGTATCGATAAACAGGGTGTTCGCAGCGAACACCTTAATAATCGATTATTTACCACAGCTTCAAATGGAGAAATATCGATAGATCGCGAAGCACGCCACGCCACTGCTTGAAAATGTTTCCGATTATACACAATCATGGCAAACACTTATCAGTAAGTGCCTCATCGATGACTAATTATAAGTTCAACTTGCACTGATAGTGCCCAAGACATCTGAGGCGTCCGACACTTAAGCTCGCTGTATACCTCATTTCGGCTGATGTAGAAGAATAGTTCAAAACAACGGTTTTGGATAGAAGAAAAAACACACCGTTTTTAAACGATGAGATTTTTTCCAGATTTTTTTCCAGATCGAGCACTTTTCAAGACCGCATAAACCATGCTAAAATCCGATGGCGTTTGCATCTATGAAAATTTGATCATAAGCCAGGGTGTCTACCAGTTATGAAAAAACAAAAAACTGGGACTTTTTTCCCGAAATACTATGAAAGGAAGCTAGTTAGAGCGTTAAAAGGCGTATTTTATACGACTAATTTTACAAGTCATGTTGAACCGATGAAAACATACGAAAAACCAAGCAACACTTCAGTTCTTCTATTCCTGGTTATACCGCGCCGCCGCGACTGGCGGGGAAATTTGAAAATGCCGGTGTTTGGGACGATTTTTGTCATTTTTTGGGGACCTGAACAAGAAAATTGGGGACTTTCGGGGATATCGACGACACCCTTCCAAAATCGGGGATAACCGCGGACATTGGGGACTTTTGGGGACCGGTATACACCCTATAAACCTCTTTTCCCCCGATAAATATTCAAATGATTGCTAATAAGTACTTAAAATGTCTATCTACCAGAAAATACACGGAAAGAATAAGTACCTACTAAAAGCTTTCCAGAATGGACTGGGGTATTGTACACTGGAAAAAAAACACATTGGATCTAGAGTCCAGACTCTTAAAAACACCGACAAGAGAAAATACTCTTGATTCAATCGGATTTTTGCTTAAATCAAGAACCAAGCCTCTTAATTTGAGCGGATTTCCTCTTGATTTACCTAAGCTTAAATCCGATTGAATCGGGAGTATTTTTTCTTGTCAATGTTTTCAAGAGTCTGGACTCCAGATCCAATGTGTTTTTTTTTTTTTTTTCCCAGTGTAGGGTACTCTTCACGAGTTTCAAGTGATCGTTGTTGTTTCCCGATGAAAACTCGATATATTTTTTAATAAATAAGGTTTAAAATCTTACTGCTGCTTCTGACGGGACGAGCCGAACGGCGTTTCCTAATTTATGAATCCAGGTCAAATCCTCCGCCAAGCATTACGGAAAATTGCGGTGCGAGTGAAACTCGTTTCTACCCCTTAATTCGGATCCTTGGAGTCTTGATACTTACTCTGCCGTGCTAAGGAAAAACGCCGTATTAACCTTCAGGCGTTGCCAAATTTCCTTTGATAAAACATTAATTTCCTGCTAAATATATGAATTTTTTTCTTCCAATCTTTAAGATAATTTTGTTCGCATTTTCACCTTAAGTCCTTGGAAACTTCAAGGATAAATACTTAAAACTTTGCTAAAAATAAACATTTTATCGAAGGAAATTTGGCAACTTTCGAATGTTTATATGGCGTTCTTCCTTAGCACGGCAGTACTAAGGCGAATCCGTATTCTGCCTTACTGAGGGAACTCCGTAACAACGGTGGGGCGTTGCCAAATTTACTGATGAAATATTGTTTTCTGGCAAACTTATAGATACCGATTTTTCTTCGAATTTTTCTTCGAATTTTATTCGGCATTCTATTGGAATTGTGTAGAGACGAAGAAAGATATTCATAACTCTTTTAAGAATCGTTTTTCAGCATTTTCCGTAGTCGGTCGATCCGTTAATAATCTCTGGATTTTAAAGCATTTCTCCAAAATTCCGAGCATCACACCACTCACGGTAGCCAAAATTCCCTGACTTTTCCCGGTCGCCACGAATTCCCTGACTTTCCTGGTTAATTTTCCAGAACTCCGGCAACCCTGCACGTCGTTCTTCGGACGTAAGGGCGTATCTCTACTTCCACGTGAGCCCCAGAAAGCATTGTTATACGGAGAACAGAGCTCACGTGGAAATCAAATTACGCCCTTACGTTTCACGTTAGAGGAGCGACCATACTGCCGTGCTAAGGAAGAACGCCGTATGAACTTTCCAGACTTGCCAAATTTCCTTCTATAAAATGTTTATTATTAAGGAGTGCTATGAATATATTTCCTCGGAATTTTCAGGAACTTCAGCTGAAATCGCGAACAAAACTATCTGCAAAAGTGGACGAAAAATATTCATAAGTTAACCAGAAAATTCGTGTTTTATCAAAGGCAATTTAGCAACGCCTGAAGGCTCATACGGCGTTCTTCCTTAGCACGGCAGTATATGAGTCGTTTTTCGCGGCATCTTTGGACAAGAGCGCACGAGGAAAGATCGTCGAGAGGGTGCGAGGGATATGATTAAATTCCTCAGCGAGGCGTGAGAAAGAAAATGGTGGTAAATGGAGGAGAAGGGATGAAGAGGAATGCCTTTAATTTTCAGACCCACGATAATAAACCAGCAGTGCCGCTCGCCTTCGATCTTCATAAATTTGAACGCTTTTAGGTCCGCAATTGCTGATGAACAGTCATCAGGAATACAAAAAAAAAATACGTCTCATTCACTATGATTGAAGCAAATGTGCGAAAGTTGTTGAATTTTCTGCTGAATTTTCTAAGCATATATTTTACTAATAAAGAAAAAAAAAATTTTCAAGACTTTTTTTTTTTTCAAGACTCTTCAGGACTGTCCAAGACGTCATGATCACGAATCATAACTCGAAATTGTTTTTGAGCTAAGGCATTAAGACGGTTAAATATTCTGGAGAAATATGAAGTAGGTAAGTACCTAAACGAAATGAAAGAATTGCTGGCTAAAAACTCCCTTAGTCTCTATTTTTTATCATCGCTGCTTGTTCTTTATTTGAAAACAATCCACTTAATAGTGACAAAGCGTTGCCACTGAGAAAGCTGGCGCATCTTCAATTTCAACCCTTGCACTGCGCACATTTTGGGAGCAGGAATTGTGGTATTCAGACCTGACCCAAAGGTCGAAGTCAAGAGAAACATATCTTGATTGCAACGTTTCTGCATCTGGGCTGTTTTTCAATTTTGGTGGGGAGAAACACCATAATGAACACGATTGTTTGGAAACATGGTATTTTCAGCACAGGATAGTAAGACATCGGTGTGAATACCAAGAAACAAAGCTCAAAAGTTGTCATTTGAAAAACTAAATATATGTGACAAGGAATTGACATGTCACAAAAAAGCTGAGGGTTTCTCAATTTTCTGCAATACCTACATTATCATTAAGAGAGCCTGTACTTAGTTTTGGTCTTCCTTGGAGTAAGTAGGTATTTTAAAGTTGGAATTGGGGAACATATTATTATGTGGATGAAATATCATAAAATTAAATAATTTGGGAGAGCTAAAAATTTGCGAATCCAATTCTTCGCAGGCTCAATGCGATTGGCATCAGTCCTCTGGACAATGTCCGTTAGACACTGCCAGGAATTCTGAAAATACGGAATCAAGTGGTGGATAGTAGGTCGAGTTTCGCGAGTCTAAAACAGTAAACAAAGCCTTGTTTTCTACAGAATGGAATTTGAACATTTCCTTACACCCATTGCTCCTCTTGGCTGAGGTCTTTCTCCAAATAAAGACTGCAGCCTGACTAATAACAAGCCATCATATTGCAATATATTACAGAGCATAGAAAGAGCTAAGTATGTGTTGTCTTGTCTTGCCGGTAAGGCTAGAAATAGATTCAATAATCAGGCTGCAGCGCCTCGATTGTTGAATCGTTTATCGAATTAATTCGATCGATAACTCCCTATCTTCACAATGCTATATATCGATCAAGGTCATTCGATAACGATTCAACAATCGACCCGCTGATGAGACTTAGAGGGTGCATATGGGACAGTTACCAGGATTCAGAAATGAAACCTGGAGTTTCCTACATTAGAAATCGGATGTGCTGTTCGACATAAAAATTGTTAAAAAAGTAAAATGCACTTTATACAGTTCAGCAATTCGACTGCAACATCAAGATCCTGAACTTAGTTTTCTGTAGCATTACAAGAGACGACATACCTCATGACTCGCAGCGAAACAATAAAAGAACAATGGATTCGTCTGAGAAGAGTGAAAGTGAAAAATTTTTCAGACTTCATTCTTATCAAGGAGAAACGAACGAGAGATTAAAACAATTGGATTCGGCATGCAATCGAAGTGGGAAACTTACCTAGGACAAGGATGAAGAATGGGGTTAGGTGATAAGAGCAAAATCCGTTCTTTACATGAAACTGCACAGCCAACCACGAAAACGAAAATGATCACAGATATGGACGAGAAAAGGAACGACCGATTTATCGACAATCTGGTGCCATGATTTTCGAAGAAAGTGACAAAACCGGAACGTATTATGATGGTCAAACGGAGCTGCCTTCCTTATCACTAGTTCTAACTGAAAATCAAAATCAACAATGAAATCAAGACCAATCCACACAGGTCAGTCATTCCGGTGGACGAGTTTTGGTACTCTACTGCGCAGTGACGTACTATTGAGTGCTTGCAATGTATTTCTTATGGGTGCACTCAATAGTACGTCACAATGAGTGCTGCGAGTTAGGGCCGGGCGGGGGAGTGGATTTCAAAAAAGCTGCGCAATAACTGACCTGTGTGGATTGGTCTTGAATGAAATTTTCGGCCGAAAGAACATCTTGCGCAACAGCTCCTCCCCCTCCCTCTCGCCATCACTTGAGGCTTTGTTTCGACCAATCACAGCGGTTTTAGAAATCACATGACTCGGCTCTGCGCGCGCCTGATTCCACAAAGCGCCAAACTTGACTTTAGAGCGGGAAAATCAAAATTGCGCTCCCTAATTTGTGGAGCGCAGAGCTATATTCGCTGAGCGCATCAGAACCAAAATAAAGAAAATAAGAGTCGGATACGCAGCAGCATCAAGACTTTTTTACTGATCCTGTTTTGCCTTATAACGACAAAGTATAAAAATAAATCTTTCAAAATAAAAATTATAACAAACAAACCAAAAAATTAGTTGTAGTTGCGAGAAACATAATGCTCTCTGCAAAAGCTTCAAAGCCATCTTATATTACGTTGAAATATTTATGAGAAAAAAATCAACAGAATATATGGATTCATTGAATTTTGAAAGAAGGAAGCAAGAGCATTGCAATGTTTCTAAGATTGTGTAACTTTCTTGTTATAAAATAAAAACCTGATCATCTATAAGTAAACAGTTTCTGTTTCGAGCCCTAAAAACTGTAAATTCAAGACAATAATTACCATGTAAATTTAATAATTTTGCATGATTTCAATACAGTTATTGCGAAGAATGAAGTTCCGCAATCTTAGCAACATTCCAATGCTCTTGGTTCCTTTTTGCAAAATGCAATCCATTCATATGGCATTGCACGATGAACATGGTGCATATGCCGCTATGGAAGAATCTATCCATGGGACAAGGTAGGTAGATTGAAAACCAAATGAGACCACTTATAATCCCACAATAATAACTACTGACAGTCAGGGGTTTTACACATATGGTTTTCAAGGACATTCGAATACTGGATGAGGCACAATTCAACAATTAAAGATTAAAATTTGAAGCTGAAAGAACGATCGGCCCTCTGACCAAAGGCTTAATATTGTCCTTAGAGATTTGCAAAATCTGGCTGTGGAGCGTTTAATTTATTCAAGCTTGGCATTTAAAGGTAGTTAAATCAAATCTAATTTCTTGCTGGAACAGGCCTTTTCCCAAAGGCAGAAATATAGGTGGATTCCTATTGTTTGATTACATTAGGTCAATGTAGACAATAATGTTTGCAAAACTGCACACTAAGGGTGAGGATATGGAAATAAATGGTTATGGCGTATTTTGGTTCAAAGAAATTAAAAAGGTATATTTTTAAAAAAATATTAACAAAGTAAAAAGTCAAACGCAACTTATAGCAGTTACTTACTTACTTCAGTTTTTTCAGGAGGAAAAAAAAAATTTGAACCAGACGCTGAAACCAGAGAACTCCAAAAAGAATTAGCTTATAAATATAAATATCTATCATGATTTATGACTAAGCACTGAGGCATACTTTGTTAACTAAGCAAGACACGAGACTGAGATACTGGGCCAAAAAAAAGAAGTCTGACCTGCCAATCTGGTGCAACAGGGCTTTTGCTAAGGAAATTGTATAACATATAAAAAAATGATTCTGCTAAATTAAGGGTGCCCTTTCCTCATACCAGTCAGTAGGTATGTTGTAGGCATGAAACTTTCATAATATGATGCTGTCCTCTTCAGGTTGGTAAATTGAGAGTTACTTTATAGTTCACATGATTCTGCTAGGGATAAAAGTGAAGAAGCCCTATTTATGAGAAACAGGACTAATATTTAACAGGACAAAATTTTAACAGAAGTTACAGGATGGCTTTAAATGTGGAAATAAAAAATCATTCCATCCCTTTTTATTCGACTTTAATAACAAACGGAGGGGTGAATATCACAAGAGGCTATTTTCAATTAATATTTATCAATACACTTGTCATAATTTTGCTACCTGATGTGCAGGTGCACCCAAGTTTAATGTTACTTATATATGCAACAGGAAATGTCTGTAGCTGAATGGTTGAGATACTGAGTTTGTGGAATCTTTCTAATGAAAAACAATCTCTGAGGATAGTATATCTGTGCAAAGCATTGGACCAAAAAAAAAAAAAAGAATATTTCGTCTTTTTATCTTAGCACACCTTGGTTGCAAAGATCTCACATATCAATCAAAATATGTAATGATGTTACTAAAATTCAACTGAATGAGAATTATTCACACCTTACCTGATAATTGATAAAATAATAAAAACTTCTCACTAGAATTCATATTCTTGTAGAATATGGTCCTTGCAACACGCATGAGTTAAATCAATTTTTGGTCAATATTGAGTCAAGTAAATCTTGCTTAAATTCTTCACTCATGAACAAGGTCAAAACCATAATCAATGGACCGATCAAGCATAGAGCTAATTAAGATTAAATTTTTGATCTCTTGACTTTTTGTCAATGCAACGGTAAAAACTTCTTGCTCTCAGAGGACGATCATCATATCAACTAGGTTCTTCACAAAGGACAAGATCAAAGCCATGATCAACGGACCAATCGAGGGGCAAATGTTTTGGTTTCATATTATCAAGGAAATGTTGTCGCCAAAGTTTTTCAAACTTTTTTGAAGCTAGCATGTCATCGCAATTAAAGTTTTTGTAGGCTTCCATCAATTGTTTTCCATGCGATTCATAATGATCATTGGTCTCCCTGCAAAATAAAATTGAGAAAATTAAAATTACAGAAAATCCAAGTGGCAGGTTAATGCTGTATGCTAGACACAAATAGTGGAAACAATCATTAGTTACATATTAAAAAGACTCAAATGTTCAGAAACTTGCTAATCAATGAATTAAACTGTGAATGACAAACCAGAAAAGAGCTACGTGCTAAAACAACTTTACAAAGCCAGTAGTAACAATGAAGTGAGCGTATGTAGAAACAATGACACAAATCGGAAACAATCCTGAAGACAGATTTAGTGAAAATTTGAGAAATTATGACAGAAGACCCAATGAAAGGTTGGAGGGAAGGGATTGAAGCGGAAATGTTAAGGTGCTCAATCCCCCGAGATTTGTGGTTTGAAAGAGAGCAGTGGAGGTTAGGAGTCGTAGAGCGCGAGGGAGTGCTGTAAAGCGACTTATATGTATGTATGGTAGGTAGGTAAATACATTTATTTGGTGCTTTAACATTGAAGCCATTAACACCGTAGATGAGGAGAGATCGTCAAAAAAACATAATTTAAATATTTAAGAAGTAGGAGTCACAAAAAGGGTAGTAGAAAATTAAAATTTAGGACAAGGAAAGAATGCATTAAATTTGGAGATGGACAAGGAAAGAATACATTAAAATGTATGTATGTATGTATGTATGTATGTATGTATGTATGTATGTATGACTGAAGACCCATCTATTATCACTTGGCAAAAAATAGAGTGAAAAAATCTAAAACTGAACCTGAGACCTACTAGATTTTGGGGATGGACTGGAGAGTTAATAGAAAAATTGTAGAATGGAGAGACATGAGTTCTTCCATGAGTAATTGGGATGCTTATTGCTTTGTCTACTCAGTCAAACTTGAATTTACCTTTGGCGAAAATAGTTCCACAAAGTGAGTACATTCAGTTCAATGAACTAGTTTCACCTCTTTTACAATAGGTTTGTTGAGGTCAAAAAAAGGCTATCCTTTAACTGAACCTAAATGAGTGTGCTTTCAGTTCATCAAAGTAATTGACTGAAAATAAATTATTAAAACTAAGTATGGAGCTTCTCATAGTTCTTACAAAAAGTCAATAATGGCACTGATTATTTCAGGCTTTCCAAACTAAATTTTTGAATTATTTTATATTCACTAATTTTCAAGATTTTTGGGATATATTTTAAAACTCAGAGCCTCCTTAAAAATGGAAAAATCTTTTTCCTCAAAATCCGAGGTAAAATAAATACATCATTAGACTCTTGTTTTTTTCTACTTCAGGTGTTGATCTCATTGATGCTGCATGTTCGGGTACATCTACAAAACAATGTCCCAAAATCTCCATGAACAGATTCTTTGTAAAACATACCATCATTGCACTTTCAGGCTTAAAAACCTCAGGGAGATTTCTAGACAATAAAAACAAAAATAGTAGGAACTGTCAGAAAAATGTAAAAACGGTTCATTTTTGAAAGAGCTGCATATACATGAAACACTATAATTAGATATGCCTCTATTTGCGACACGCAATGCCATGAAAAAAATTAACATAATTTAAAATCAAATACAAAATGTGACCAAACTTACATATAGATTTCCTTGAAAGCTTTGTCAATATCTTCATCAGTTAATATTTCAATATTGTAAAAGTTCTTGATTCTGTCTGAAAATTCTTTTATTCGAAAATCTGGCAAAGTTGATCTGTGCTTTTTTAGAGCCTTGCCAGCTTGCTGAACTTTTTTTATATCTTCATTCGGAAGAAACTGAAAACAATAATTAATGGAAAAATTAAAATTCTTCCTTAGTTTTTTCTTCATTTCCATTTTTCAAGTTTGTATAAGCAACAATAACAGTATAGCTATTATGCAGATATGGATATATTCTAACTGTACAAGACTTAAGGATGCGTCGGTGCTATGGAAGGTTCATTTTTAGCAGGTTCTGTATGGTTTTAGGGCAGCATAATTTCATCTCTAATCTCTGGTCCCTTATCTACTTAAGAAAAAACCATACTTCAGATTTGACCTCCATCTCGAGAATTTAATCCTTTTCTTTTTGCGTAATCAATATGTACAACTTATGGAAATTGAAGCATTCCACTAAAACATATACGAATAATGAACGAAAATAAAAATAAACCCACAAGTGACTGAGGTCTTATTTTTATTTTTATTATTTATCCTTTAGCGGTTCGATGTAATTTTTCACTTTCGTTCAAATGAATACTTGGGGGGGGGGGGGGATGCCTAAAGGTGAAAAATGTCAACGAGATACGTATATTCTCTATGATTTTTCGTATTCGATAGCAGGAGATTTGATTCAAAACATAGAGTCGTAAATTTGGATTGTTTCTCTTGGAAGAGATGAAATAAGAACGAAAATTTTGAAACACCGCAATTTAGATACGTGGTTTCGCACTTCATGCGGTGCGATACGGACATCCATCAAGTTTAAAGAGTTACATCAAGTCCCTTTCTCCGCCTATCAAGGCGTCTGTCGATCGACCCAGATTCAGTTGGTGCGTAGGAAGTCAAAACGCCTTCAATTTTTTGAATGCAATACGGACATCCGTCGAGGTTGTATAGTTGTATCAAGGCGCCGTAGCAGACGCGTCCCAATGTTTATCGTTACAGACGAATAAAAGTTGAGAGAGGAAAGTCAAAATGCCTTCAATTTCAACACATATGCTTATAGGCAAATTGAGAGATGACGTTTCTCCATTTGCGACGTTGCAGACTTCCTGAGAAACTTTATTTCTTAGTAGGGAAGCTACTCAACATGATGCGTCAATTCTCTATGATTTTTCGTATTCGATAGCAGGAGATTTGATTCAAAACATAGAGTCGTAAATTTGGATTGTTTCTCTTGGAAGAGATGAAATACGAACGAAAATTTTTAAAACACCGCAATGAAGATACGTGGTTTCGCACTTCAGGCGGTGCGATACGGACATCCATCAAGTTCAAAGAGTTTCATCAAGTCCCTTTCTCCGCCGATCAACGCGTCCGTCGATCGACCCAGATTCAGTTGGTGCGTAGGAAGTCAAAACGCCTTCAATTTTTTGAACGCAATACGGACATCCGTCGAGGTTGTATAGTTGTATCACGGAACCGTAGCAGACGCGTCCCAGTGTTTATCGTTACAGACGAATATAAGTTGGGAGAGGACAGTTAAAATGCAGTTCAGGCGGTGCGATACGGACATCCATCAAGTTTAAAGAGTTACATCAAGTCCCTTTCTCCGCCGATCAACGCGTCTGTCGATCGACCCAGATTCAGTTGGTGCGTAGAAAGTCAAAACGCCTTCAATTTTTTGAACGCAATACGGACATCCGTCGAGGTTGTATAGTTGTATCACGGCGCCGTAGCAGACGCGTCCCAGTGTTTATCGTTACAGACGAATATAAGTTGAGAGAGGACAGTTAAAATGCCTTCAATTGTATAAATACATACTTTCGGGCAAAATGAAAGATGACGTTTCTCAACATGACTGCTACGCTACTCAACATGATGCGTCAATTCTCTATGATTTTTCGTATTCGATAGCAGGAGATTTGATTCAAAACATAGAGTCGTAAATTTGGATTGTTTCTCTTGGAAGAGATGAAATACGAACGAAAATTTTGAAACACCGCAATGAAGATACGTGGTTTCGCACTTCATGCGGTGCGATACGGACATCCAACAAGTTTAAATAGTTTCATCAAGTCCCTTTCTCCGCCGATCAACGCGTCTGTCGATCGACCCAGATTCAGTTGGTGCGTAGAAAGTCAAAACGCCTTCAATTTTTTGAACGCAATACGGACATCCGTCGAGGTTGTATAGTTGTATCACGGCGCCGTAGCAGACGCGTCCCAGTGTTTATCGTTACAGACGAATATAAGTTGAGAGAGGACAGTTAAAATGCCTTCAATTGTATAAATACATACTTTCGGGCAAAATGAAAGATGACGTTTCTCAACATGACTGCTACGCTACTCAACATGATGCGTCAATTCTCTATGATTTTTCGTATTCGATAGCAGGAGATTTGATTCAAAACATAGAGTCGTAAATTTGGATTGTTTCTCTTGGAAGAGATGAAATACGAACGAAAATTTTGAAACACCGCAATGAAGATACGTGGTTTCGCACTTCATGCGGTGCGATACGGACATCCAACAAGTTTAAATAGTTTCATCAAGTCCCTTTCTCCGCCGATCAACGCGTCTGTCGATCGACCCAGATTCAGTTGGTGCGTAGAAAGTCAAAACGCCTTCAATTTTTTGAACGCAATACGGACATCCGTCGAGGTTGTATAGTTGTATCACGGCGCCGTAGCAGACGCGTCCCAGTGTTTATCGTTACAGACGAATATAAGTTGAGAGAGGACAGTTAAAATGCCTTCAATTGTATAAATACATACTTTCGGGCAAAATGAAAGATGACGTTTCTCAACATGACTGCTACGCTACTCAACATGATGCGTCAATTCTCTATGATTTTTCGTATTCGATAGCAGGAGATTTGATTCAAAACATAGAGTCGTAAATTTGGATTGTTTCTCTTGGAAGAGATGAAATACGAACGAAAATTTTGAAACACCGCAATGAAGATACGTGGTTTCGCACTTCATGCGGTGCGATACGGACATCCAACAAGTTTAAATAGTTTCATCAAGTCCCTTTCTCCGCCGATCAACGCGTCTGTCGATCGACCCAGATTCAGTTGGTGCGTAGAAAGTCAAAACGCCTTCAATTTTTTGAACGCAATACGGACATCCGTCGAGGTTGTATAGTTGTATCACGGCGCCGTAGCAGACGCGTCCCAGTGTTTATCGTTACAGACGAATATAAGTTGAGAGAGGACAGTTAAAATGCCTTCAATTGTATAAATACATACTTTCGGGCAAAATGAAAGATGACGTTTCTCAACATGACTGCTACGCTACTCAACATGATGCGTCAATTCTCTATGATTTTTCGTATTCGATAGCAGGAGATTTGATTCAAAACATAGAGTCGTAAATTTGGATTGTTTCTCTTGGAAGAGATGAAATACGAACGAAAATTTTGAAACACCGCAATGAAGATACGTGGTTTCGCACTTCATGCGGTGCGATACGGACATCCAACAAGTTTAAATAGTTTCATCAAGTCCCTTTCTCCGCCGATCAACGCGTCTGTCGATCGACCCAGATTCAGTTGGTGCGTAGAAAGTCAAAACGCCTTCAATTTTTTGAACGCAATACGGACATCCGTCGAGGTTGTATAGTTGTATCACGGCGCCGTAGCAGACGCGTCCCAGTGTTTATCGTTACAGACGAATATAAGTTGAGAGAGGACAGTTAAAATGCCTTCAATTGTATAAATACATACTTTCGGGCAAAATGAAAGATGACGTTTCTCAACATGACTGCTACGCTACTCAACATGATGCGTCAATTCTCTATGATTTTTCGTATTCGATAGCAGGAGATTTGATTCAAAACATAGAGTCGTAAATTTGGATTGTTTCTCTTGGAAGAGATGAAATACGAACGAAAATTTTGAAACACCGCAATGAAGATACGTGGTTTCGCACTTCATGCGGTGCGATACGGACATCCAACAAGTTTAAATAGTTTCATCAAGTCCCTTTCTCCGCCGATCAACGCGTCTGTCGATCGACCCAGATTCAGTTGGTGCGTAGAAAGTCAAAACGCCTTCAATTTTTTGAACGCAATACGGACATCCGTCGAGGTTGTATAGTTGTATCACGGCGCCGTAGCAGACGCGTCCCAGTGTTTATCGTTACAGACGAATATAAGTTGAGAGAGGACAGTTAAAATGCCTTCAATTGTATAAATACATACTTTCGGGCAAAATGAAAGATGACGTTTCTCAACATGACTGCTACGCTACTCAACATGATGCGTCAATTCTCTATGATTTTTCGTATTCGATAGCAGGAGATTTGATTCAAAACATAGAGTCGTAAATTTGGATTGTTTCTCTTGGAAGAGATGAAATACGAACGAAAATTTTGAAACACCGCAATGAAGATACGTGGTTTCGCACTTCATGCGGTGCGATACGGACATCCAACAAGTTTATATAGTTTCATCAAGTCCCTTTCTCCGCCGATCAACGCGTCTGTCGATCGACCCAGATTCAGTTGGTGCGTAGGAAGTCAAGACGCCTTCAATTTTTTGAACGCAATACGGACATCCGTCGAGGTTGTATAGTTGTATCACGGCGCCGTAGCAGACGCGTCCAGATAAACAAAGCTATACATGAAGAAGACAACGGGAAAATGAGGCGTTTATACGAGTGGAAGCGGGTGGTTACAATGGACAAATGAAGTGAGTAATAGACTAATCAACGGCAATTCACGAGGGATCGTATGGTCAGTTCATCATTTTCTCCCTTGGTCTACAACAATCACCCATTTCAACCAATGTGATCGCTCAATTTCCCCTATGTCTTCTTTGTCTATCGCTTTGTCTATCGATTTCAATAATCAGCCCGCTGACCTGCGAAGTTACTCATCTATGTTACCAATGCAACTTGTCCAGATAGCTTAACTACTCGCATAGGCTCAAGCATGTCAACCGATACGTGTAGCAGAATTAGTATTAGTGTGTACATCTCTGGAGACTTAAACGCCGAGGTAAGAAAGTAAGCGACAATTTCAAAATTGCAATGATTACTTCATACTAAAACTGATGACTTTAAGTCAAAAAATGGGCGGTAATTTTTGAATATTTTCAAGAATTTACAGCTCATAGTGACGTTTCATTAAAA